CATGCTTTTGTGTTTTGACTATAACTAGAAATGTCAGAGAAATATCACTACTATACCAAACTAAACGAGTCAATACAAAGGCACGGAAATAAACAATACTAGACACGAGGGCGGAAGTAATAACAGTGGTAACCAGCATGTATTCGGCCCCTTCAGTGCCTGCATAGTCTTCGTTTTACAAAAAATTAGTATGACGTCTGGTTGTCTGGTGTGGTTAGGTGACGTCATCTAAGCCCCTAACGACCCTTAGTAACTATCGATTAGTGACACGTCCGGTTGGACATTACCAACCACCCTATATACCCTTAGTAACTATCGATTAGTGACACGTCCGGTTGGACATTACCAACCACCCTGTATACCCTTAGTAACTATCGATTAGTACACGTCTGGTTGGACATTACCAACCACCCTGTATACCCTTAGTAACTATCGATTAGTGACACGTCCGGTTGGACATTACCAACCACCCTATATACCCTTAGTAACTATCGATTAGTGACACGTGTGGTTGGACATTACCAACCACCCTATATACCCTTAGTAACTATCGATTAGTGACACGTGTGGTTGGACATTACCAACCACCCTATATACCCTTAGTAACTATCGACTAGTACACGTCCGGTTGGACATTACCAACCACCCTATATACCCTTAGTAACTATCGACTAGTACACGTCCGGTTGGACATTACCAACCACCCTATATACCCTTAGTAACTATCGATTAGTGACACGTGTGGTTGGACATTACCAACCACCCTATATACCCTTAGTAACTATCGATTAGTGACACGTGTGGTTGGACATTACCAACCACCCTATATACCCTTAGTAACTATCGATTAGTGACACGTGTGGTTGGACATTACCAACCACCCTATATACCCTTAGTAACTATCGATTAGTGACACGTCCGGTTGGACATTACCAACCACCCTATATACCCTTAGTAACTATCGATTAGTACACGTCCGGTTGGACATTACCAACCACCCTATATACCCTTAGTAACTATCGATTAGTGCACGTCCGGTTGGACATTACCAACCACCCTATATACCCTTAGTAACTATCGATTGGTACACGTCCGGTTGGACATTACCAACCACCCTGTGTGGTTGGTGGTGACACGTGTGTTTGGTTGATGACGACCTCTAGGGAGCAGCTGGTACACGCTGTTGACAAAGCAGAACTAGAGTGCTTGTATATTGATATGTCAGAGGGTTGACAGGTTAGGAAAGCGGTATTGGTTGGTCTGACCACAGATGACCCCCGTCTTCTACATCCTCTATTGGTCCCTCCCTGTTGAGTGTTGAGTACTTCACTAATCATTTCTGTATCGACAGAGTTGTAATGTTAACAAAGACCTTTAGTACTGGTTTTAGCGTACTGGACAGTTATGTATGAGAACACACAGGTGACAGAGAATCAACCGACTCACTCTGCTTCAAAACGTTGTTAGTATATGATGCTAACTATGTATGTGAATCGGTCTACCTGATACAGTGATCAGTCTCCCAAAAAACCGCTTTCTAATTTTAGAAACATTTCCTGGCTTCTGACTTAGAATAGACTTGAACATGATCTCAGATGTCGGTCATGAACTTGGTGCTAGCAACTGGATATGATAATTTTGTTACAGACATGATATTATCATTATCTTATAGACGGGAAAGAAACATGTCACTACACATAGATATAAACAATACTACATAAAAACATATTTAGCAGACTTATCGCGGATGTCGAGCTCAGCAAAGACAGGCATACATTCCTGACATAGCTTGGTATATAAGTTGCACTGTCCTTGACTTGGTGTTTCAACTTGCTTTATTTCTTGCAGAAAACGCTCGGCAGCTAGACAACTAAAGGCACTGGAACTTCAACCAGCGTTAACCCCTGAACCACTAGACATGACATCCTACTGTAGCTACGACTATGATGTAGACCATGTTTGCTCCATTAACAGGTCACCACTGAAGAGGTCGGCCCTGACAGACGACAGTTCTATGGGCTCCAGTTTGAGACCTAATGGCTTTACAACCCTTGCTCATGCAGATAGGTGCCAAATCCATCGGGATTTAAGTTCCAGTGCTCTTCTACCTCCAGGCATCTCAACGCCGCCACCGTCGGCACAAAACAGGTTGCTGCTGGGCGGGAGATCTTTCCGAGAGGTTCATTATCCCGGGGACATGTCCTTGAGGTTCGTCAAGCCGTTGATGAACACCAGCAAAAGCTTCACGTCCAGCGGCTTGGACTCCAGCGAGCACTACCCCCAGGGACACACCACTCTGCCGGCCAACAGAAAAGCTGTACTGGTCAGCTGTGGTCCCAAAAGTCCTCTGGGCAAGCGCAGCAAAAGTGTGACCTTCTCACAACCGGTCGCCATGGTAACGCCCATGAACTCTGAGTCGGAAGAGTCCATGGAGAAATCGATGCTGAGTGTGGAAGTGGATGACCCCAGTTACGACAATCTCAACAAACTGGACATCCCTGACTACCCAGTTATCCCTGGAGACAGTGACCTTATCCACTTTTCCAAGTGGGACCACGAAGTCCAAGAACAGAATCCCATCAGGTCCAAATCCATGTCCACTTTTCATAATCCGAATACTTCTACCCCTGAGACGAAAGTTTTTGTGACCCCATCTTGTGACCTTAGAGTGAACTTTGACACAGAGGATCTTTCTTATATGTCTGACTCGCCTTCAAGCTTCTGGAGCCCACCCAAGCATAACGGGAAGCCCCTGGTGCTACCAAAACCTCAGAAAGCTGAACTATATGAAACCGGAGTATAGAAATAACGCATGGTTTGACAGAATCGATGTGAAGGTTTAAATCCTGCACATTCTATTCTAATATCTCAGTTTTGATTGGAAAACGAGCTGTGCATGTTTGTGACTTGAACACCGCCTGACTTTTGTTGCGATAATTAAATAGGAACAATAGACGGAGTCGGCTGAAACAATCATCGAATTCTATTTGGCAGCCAGAGCGAGTGGTTGTGAAGAACACGGAGAACTGGACCTGGTAACAGACCAAACTGAAGAACAGACAATACACGCTACCTCAGAGGGAAAGCCAATCTTCCAGATGGGGCAAACAGTTGTCAAAAGCCATATCTAGACAAAGGCCAATCAAATGATAGCGGACAAAAAGACACCATGATCTCAGTGACCTGTATTGTATTGCTGTCTGACATACTCCACCTCTGATCCTACATGCTGAATCATCCAATGTAAAGCCACTTTAACGGACTAACCATGTATCAGACTGTTTGTTGCCCTTGTCCTGTCTTATTGTCTCATCGACAGTGACAGGTCAGTGTCTTATTGTGTTAGACCTGTGTTTGGTAGTAACATGACCGTGCCTCAGTGTGATTGATTTGTGTCAGTAACATGCCACTGTCTTATTGTGATAGCTTTGTGTCAGACAATAACAACACAGTGTCTCAAAGGGATAGACTTGTGTCAGTGACATGTCAGTGGCTCACTGTGATAGACATGTGTCAGACAGTAACACCCTAGTGTCTCTTTGTGATGGACATGTGTCAGACAGTAACACCCTAGTGTCTCTTTGTGATGGACATGAGTCTGGCAGTAACATTCTAGTGTCTCTTTGTGATGGACATGAGTCTGGCAGTAACATTCTAGTGTCTCTTTGTGATGGACATGAGTCTGGCAGTAACATGTCACTGTGGTAGACATGTGTCAGTGACATGTCAGTGTTAGATCTGTGTCAGATCTTAATATGCCAGGGCCTCTTTGTGATAGATCTGTGTCAGACAGTAACATCCTAGTGTCTCTGTGTGACAGACATGTGTCAGACAGTAATATTCTAGTGTCTCACTGTGTTAGCCATGTGTCAGTGATATGTCAGATCTTAATATGCCAGGGCCTCTTTGTGATAGATCTGTGTCAGACAGTAACATCCTAGTGTCTCTATGTGACAGACATGTGTCAGACAGTAACGTTCTAGTGTCTCACTGTGTTAGCCATGTGTCAGTGATATGTCAGTGTTAGATCTGTGTCAGACATTGGCGCATCAGTGTCTCCTTATCAAGCCCATGTTTATTATTTATGACGCCCCTATGCAGTTACTTATAGTACGCTCCTTCTTCAGTCAGCTAAACTTTAACATCGCCATTACCAAACTATTATAATGCCAGGTCACTAATCCAGTGAGGTTTTTTTTTTTTTTTTTTTTTTATGATAACAGTCATGAAAATATAAACATCTTGTTAAAACGTTACATTTTGCAGCCTTCAAAATTTCCTCGCGCCCCAATATTTGTCTGTTCTATGTTAGATGTTAGATATGTCTAGAAGTGGCCTTAGATATATCAATGCTCGTTGGAATATTCTAAGGCCACATGAGTTGGCATTTAGGTGATTTTTTTCACTGCGAAAATTCATTACCTCTATTCTTCTTTATTTAGTTTGGCACACACACACACACACACACACACACACACACACTCATGAATTCACACAATCATGCATTCACACAATCATGCGTTCACACAGTCATGCATTCACACACAGAGTCGTGCATTAACACAGTCATGCATTCACACACAAAGTCGTGCATTCACACAGTCAGGCATTCAAACAGTCATGCATTCGCAGTCATGCATTCACACCGCCATGCATTCACACAGTCATGCATTCAAACAGTCATGCATTAACACAATCATGCATTGACACGGTCATGCATTCACACAGCCATGCATTCACACAGTCTTGCATTCACACAGTCATGCAGTCACACAGTCATGCATTCACACAGTCAGGGATTAACACAGTGAGGCATGCACACAGTCATGAACGCGCACAGTTATGCATCTACACAGCCATGCATGCACACAGTGATTGACGCACACAACACAACTTGTCTAAAACCGAGAAACTACTGATTACACAAAAAACAAATACCAGGTGAACAAACTGGCAGTTCTTCGCCCAGCCTCGTGTCTCTCACTCTCTCATACACCAGCCTCGTGTCTCTCACTCTCTCATACACCAGCCTCACATCTCTCACTCTCTCATACACCAGAGTCGTGTGTCTCACTCTTTCATACACCATCTTTATGTCTCTCACTCTCTCATACACCAGCGTCGTGTCTTTCACTCTTTCATACACCAACCTCGTGTCTCTCACTCTCTCATACACCAGCCTCGTGTCTCTCACTCTCTCATACACCAGCCTCGTGTCTCTAACTCTCTCATACACTAGACTCGTGTCTCTCACTCTCTCATACACCAGCCTCGTGTCTCTCACTCTGTCATACAATAGCCTCGTGTCTCTAACTCTCTCATACACCAGCCTCGTGTCTCTCACTCTCTCATACACCAGCCTCGTGTCTCTAACTCTCTCATACACTAGCCTCGTGTCTCTCACTCTCTCATACACCAGCCTCGTGTCTCTCACTCTCTCATACAATAGCCTCGTGTCTCTAACTCTCTCATACACCAGCCTCGTGTCTCTCACTCTCTCATACACCAGCCTCGTGTCTCTCACTCTCTCATACACCAGCCTCGTGTCTCTCACTCTCTAACACACCAGCCTCGTGTCTCTTACTCTCTCATACACCAGCGTCGTGTCTCTCACTTTCTCATACACTAGCCTCGTGTCTCTCACTCTCTCATACACCAGCCTCGTGTCTCTCACTCTCTCATACACCAGCCTCGTGTCTCTCACTCTCTCATACACCAGCCTCGTGTCTCTCACTCTCTCATACACCAGCCTCGTGTCTCTCACTCTCTAACACACCAGCCTCGTGTCTCTCACTCTCTCATACACCAGCGTCGTGTCTCTCACTTTCTCATACACTAGCCTCGTGTCTCTCACTCTCTCATACACCAGCCTCGTGTCTCTCACTCTCTCATACACCAGCCCCGTGTCTCTCACTCTCTCATTCATCCTCATGTCTCTGACTCTCTCATACACCATGCTAGTGTCTCTCACTGTCTGATACATCAGCCCCGTCTCTCTCACTCTCTCATACACCAGCCTCCTGTCTCTCGCTCTCTCAAACACCAACCTCGTGTCTCTCACTCTCTCATACACCAGCCTCATGTCTCTCACTCTCTCATACACCAGCCTCATGTCTCTCACTCTCTCATACACCAGCCTCATGTCTCTCACTCTCTCATACACCAACCTCGTGTCTCTCACTCTCTCATACACCAGCCTCAGGTCTCTCACTCTCTCATACACCAACCTCGTGTCTCTCACTCTCTCATACACCAGCCTCATGTCTCTCACTCTCTCATACACCAGCCTCATGTCTCTCACTCTCTCATACACCAACCTCGTGTCTCTCACTCTCTCATACACCAGCCTCATGTCTCTCACTCTCTCATACACCAACCTCGTGTCTCTCACTCTCTCATACATCAGCCTCATGTCTCTCACTCTCTCATACACCAGCCTCCTGTCTCTCGCTCTCTCATACACCAACCTCGTGTCTCTCACTCTCTCATACACCAGCCTCATGTCTCTCACTCTCTCATACACCAGCCTCATGTCTCTCACTCTCTCATACACCAACCTCGTGTCTCTCACTCTCTCATACACCAGCCTCATGTCTCTCACTCTCTCATACACCAACCTCGTGTCTCTCACTCTCTCATACATCAGCCTCATGTCTCTCGCTCTCTCATATACCAACCTCGTGTCTCGCACTCTCTCATAGACTGTCATTTGACAAAGATTGTCAATTTAAAGTTAAAAAAAAAAACCAAGCCTTATATAGGACTTGAACTGCACCCTTCTATCGCCTAAGATTTGTACTCCGCTGGTCTCTACTAACGGTTTTTTTTTTTAATGTGTTGCAATGATGTACAAAACGGTTATGATTGTATTGTTGATATTAGATATTATCGATCATTATTATAATTAGCCTGATATTATGTTATTTACAACTGACACGACGGCTGTTGTCCTGTGTGAACCTCATGTATTTCCCTGTTATCTGTTGAACAAACACACACATCACGTGACTGCATGCGACAGCCATGTCAACCACAATGCAAACTCTGTTCTGTACCCAGTGAATTTTTCCAATCACAGTCAGAACGGTTGGGATTCGGAGAAACTAAATCACCAGTGGTTTTGTGCAAGTTCTTCTCTGTTTACTTCTACAGACTTTAAACAATTTGCATCTACCTTCTTTAATCGGGCCCCAAGTCTTTCTCTTCAGTTGCAAAGCTCAGTCGCAGAATTTTTTTTTTTTTTTTAAATCTGTCTTTGTTGTTGTAATGGTCCATTTTGTCATTCCTGGCACATTTATGATTGGAAAATGACAACTACTAAGCCTACATTATGTGCTTGAATTCGGATGGGTGCTATAATGCACATTGTATATCAACCACTTGAATCAAAACACTTATGTACCAACATAGGATTGCTTCGACTTTTACTGTCATTTACTTTCTGTCTCTTCTCGCGGTTGCACTGGCAATATTCATCCCTTTTGGACGCCATTCTCTGTCTGTCTGTCTGTCTGTCTCTCTCTCTCTCTCTCTCTCTCTCCCTCTCTCTTTCTGCCTCTCTCTCTCTCTCTGTGTGTGTGTGTGTGTATGCGCGCGCTTGAGCGTGCGGGTGTTAATATTAGATGTTACAATGTCTAAATGTTGTTAATTATTCACAGTCTACGTTTTGAAAGTGAAATATCCTCACCACCTAATCCTATACCATGGAGACATGCAATTAGCTGTACATGTCCACCTCTGATAAACGTTTTCTTGGAGTTCATAAAACATCAGAAAAATTAAAACATATTTTGTCTCATCTCA